GGGGGCGGGAGGGCGTGAGCGGGCCGGGCGGGGCGCCGTTTAGGGGAGGGAGGCGCGGGCGATAGGGGCCGCGCTCCTGCAGACGGACAGGCCGGGCCGCGCGTGGCGGCGCATCGGCGCGCCGTTCGTTGCGGTGGAGCTGCGGTTGCCACAAGTTGCTGTTGCCAGCTGGCGCGCTTCAATCGCACGCTGGGAGTCGCAGCGGAACCCCCCCAACACACACACACTTTCATGCACACATACACGCACTCGGGCATCCGCCGCACCCCCAAGCCTGGCCCCGCGCCCTTTTCTGCCTGGGACTGTCGGCGCGCTTGGTAGCTTCTCGTCTCATCCCGTTTTGCTGCCTCTTTCATTACCGCATCGGATCCCTTCGAACGCCCGGTTCCCAGATTGGGCCCCGCAGACCCGCCGCCGGGCTTGAGGGGAGCGGCGGCCGCACGCACGCGCGCGCCCGCGTGCGCGCACGCCAGCAGCGCCCACCTGCTTCCTGCACGGCGCCATGAATCGGTCCCGACCCCTGCGCCTGTGCCTGCACCTCCTGCACCGTCGATTGTTCGCTGCAACTGCTGCTTCCTTTGCTTTTCTTTTTTGGTGGGGCCAAGGGAGGGCGCAGGGCGCAGATGCCTCCGCGCACCACTCGCGCGCCACTCAACGGCCAGGCAGCGCGACGGATCCCGTGGCAGGAAAAACCGTCTGCGGGCGGCCGCGGGGCGTGCGGGCAGGGCACCCCTATCACACTGTTACCTTTGCTTTTGCATACTGCTGTTTTTTGGAGGGGGGTTGCCCTGGGCCGAGCTGTTGCCCTTGGCGCTCTTGATCCCCTGCGGCGCCCCACGTGGGTGGGACGGGGCGGCAACCAGCGCAGTCCCTCTAACAGTGAGTGCGTGCTCCGCGCAGGGCCCCCACCAGCGAGGGCCCCTGTAGTAACCTTTCTGTTGCGTTTGTTACTTTGTTCTGTTGCACTCTCGAAAACCACCCGCCTGGCAGGGGCGCCGCCGCTGCTGCCCAGGGTGCGGGCAGGCAGCCAGCGGGCGTGCAGCAGCACAGTGGGGCGGGCGCGCGGGCTTTCCAAAGCAGGGGCAGGGATGGAAACGCAGCTGGCCGTGCATGGAGGGGTGCGGGGGGGGCGGG